GCACAAAGGAAGTGAGATTTGAGGAGCAGTGCAGAGGTCAGAGAGGATACTTAGGCATAGAGGGTGGTTTAGGAGAAAGAAAAGTGCTATGACAACTTACAGAAAGGGGAAGAAAAGGATTTCTGATTACATTTATCTCCAGCCATTATAAATAGGCAAATGGAAGAAAGTGGGAAATGTTTTCCAGTTTCCTTCAAACTCAGCTTATTCCTGTAGCCTACCAGTACCTGCAGCATGGCAGAGATGAAGGGGAATGCTGGGGTTTTTTCTGCTTTTCAGACCTCTGAGTCAGTATTTCAGAAACGCTGTTGCTTGTGTAGAGTACAGAATTTTCAGAAACTACCTGGAATTGGTGCTCAGGCAGACTGCTCAGAGGCCAGCCCAAGCAAAGCTGTGTACACAGTGCTGGAGGGTGGCGGGCGCTCTAGGTAAGTGATCTTGATAGGTACATTCTGATTGATGGGGGAGTTTGTCTCCCAAACTGTCACAGGGTTTATAGAGGTGCCACTCAATACCAGTGCTGGAATTGCTTGTCAGAGCACCTGGCTACAAGAGCAATGGGGATTGGAGACAGAGCTGTAACTTTGTTTTTCCTCTGCTTAATGGCCCCAGCGTCTGACCTGCCTGCTCACTCCTGTTTGTCTGGACCGTAAGGAGGCAGCTGGGATTAAGACTGTCAGAGGATTGTGCTGCTTTAGCATCGGGAGGCTAATTGTATCGGGACTGGCAGCGTGGTTGCATCCCACCAAGTGCATGACAAGAGCAAAAAATCCTTCAACAAGGAAGGGCAAAGTTATAGGAGAATCTGTGTTTTGGCTTGTTCTTTTTTCATCTGAAAGCAGTATTTTCAAATTCACATGTGGAACTACATTCCTCAGGCCTTAGGTGACTCTCCTTGTAAGAGTTACAGCTGCGTCTGTGGATAACAGATCGTGTCTCTTGTGAATTCCTAGGTCAAACTCACAACTTAACATTCAGTTGTTGGATTTCACTTTATTAACATGTTGGGACAAAGTTCTGGTCCCAAGCACTAACCTCTGGATAGCAGCACTGGCTTTAGAGGTCCGTTCTAGGCAGTGTTGCTGATGGCCATGAATTACTGCATGACCTTCAGAAGCCAAGCCTCGCTGGAGGAACCCTTCCTCTTTCCCAGGGCACGCTATTGAATTGCAAATCCACCAAGTGTAGTGGTAGGGGGTCTTCTGGAAGCTCCTTTTCTCCTCTAGTAGGTCCAAAACAATGCTGTTGCAAAGGCCATTTTATTCTGCTCAACACCCTCTGCGTTCAGTTTCACATTTTTCTTGCTCCTGGATGGCAGCGTACGCTGCTGGCGAGAGCAGGAAGTTGTGAGCCCTCTACACTTGGGCTGAGTTAGTGAAGCAGGTGTGATACTGTCAGACCTTCCTTGCATTTAGTGGTCCTCTTAATCCATTTATAACGGCACTTGTCCAGAAATCTGGTTTGAATGAGCCTGAGATGAATGAATAATGTCAAGCAGTTCAGACGTCAAATATTTGAACAGCTGCGTGGGTGTTTTCATTGGCTTTGTGCAGGGAAGCAACCCCAGGAAGTTGGACAAGGAGGGTCAGGTCGAAATTGTGGCACCAAACCCCAGCCCACTGGAACTGGCCTCAAAATCCATCCCTGCCACAGATGAAAGGGCATTAGGATGCTGGTGTCAGGGATGGATTTGCTCTTTGCTCTGCAGGTGATGCTGGACTGAGCTTTGCATCCTGTTCTTTGGTGTTCTCTTGCATGCAGTGGCAGTACTGGGATTTATGGACCTTTTGATTCACATGAGAAACATATTTTGTGGATTTTGTTTTTCCCTTTTTTTTTAAAGCAGCCTCTGAAGTCTTAAAACTGATAGCACAGTTTATATTCTGAGTCTTTTATGGGTACATGGAGGTTACTTTGTTTAGCGTACAGTTGTTGGTTTTTTGGTGGTTTTTTTAACCATGTTGCAATGGATTGTACTTGGTCATGTTAAAAAAAAAAAAAATCCATATTTGGTGAAAATCTGAGAGTTGGATCATCTTATTGCAGCTTCCTTTGGGCCCTGGCCTGGGAGTCCTAGTTTGAGCAGAAAAGAACATCTGCCTTTCTCTTTCCCCTCATCTTAACTTAAGAGCTTTTCTGCTGTGCCCTCCTCTCTGACTGAAATAGTGTATCAGATCATCCCAGTGTGTATCTGTCATAATAGCACATGCTGCTCAAACTCTTCCCCCATACCCTCCCTGCATAGGCAGGGGTAGCACTCTGTTGGGAATGCAGTGGTTTCTGTCATAGAGCTAGATTCAGCAAAAGGTCTGTGGAGTATTTTTCTTACAGACTTAAAAGGGATTTTCTTAAGTACAAAGGTTTTAAGAGCAAGGACACCAGGATTCTGAAGTCAGGGTGCCTTAATATTTGTAAATTGTATCACAGTAAGCAGATCTTCTTTTCTTAAGCTCTAACCGTAAACCACTAGTTGGCTTGAGTCACTTAGAAACAAAATTGATGGAAAGGAGCATTTTTGCTGTGTGCTTGGCATCCTTGCTGAGAGAGGGACACAGGAGACAGTCCCACTTAAGTTCACTCTTTTGGACACTTTTGCCCCCTCCAAGGCACATGCTCCAAGTATTGATTATCTGGCTAGCGTTCAGATCACCTCTGGGACTGGCCAAGTCACAGTTCCAGCTTTGCATGATTTGTGTTTCCCACAGCTGCAAGAAAAATGAAGACCAGTGTGTCCAAAGTTTATGGCCTTTGAGAAGTGATGGGCTAAAGTAATGCCAGGTGCAGGGGTGGTGTTACTGCAGGTTAAATGCCATGCCTATAAATTACCACCCCCATTGCCCACTGTGACTTCTAAGGCAGCTTTGAAAGACTATCCAGCTCCTTTGACAGGTCTCTCTTACTCCTCTAAATCTTCTCCCAAACATTGTGATGAACTGAAGGAGTCAAGATTTACTAGAGGAGCTGTTGCAGCAAGAGAAGGCAGCTCGTGACGTGTGTTGGCTGGCAGCGTGCAGACAGTACGTGAAACACTTGATAAGGGTCTGCTGGCAGAAGGCTGCTGCCCCAGTGATGCTGCAGAGCTGACCTGCGAGCGTGGCTCCTGCAGTACCTGGTGCAGACGGTGGATGCTGCATTGTCAATGCTAGTTTTGTTACCCCTGCTGAAAATTAAGGCTGGCAATTACTTTGAAGTAAAAGGTAGTTTATGCTTCTATGGAAAGGTTAGTCTTAAAATCATTATGCTATGGTTATCATCATTAAGGACCTTCTTTATATTCAGGGAAGAGAAATATCAAATCCATATAAACAAATTTTATTGAGGACTTAATAAATCAGTGAGAGCATCCGTTCCTAGAGAGCGACAGTAAAGAACTGTGCTTGCGTGGTGTCCTTGGAAATCAGACCTTTGCCTTGCCCTGCTCTCTGCACAGATGCAGACTGTTAGAAATACAGCTCACTTCTGGGCTGGGAAAGTGCAAGTTCGCTGCTGACAGCAAAAGCTTGTGTGAGTGTCCTGGTGAGAGCCCAGTGGAATGAACAGATTCGGACATCTGTAGCACTAAAGGGGCTACCATAACACTTGAGAATGTCCTAATTCTTCAGACATGGACCTTATTTTCAGTGCTTGCACATTAATTTTAACCTGCCTATGTGCTTAGAATCACATTCACAGTACAGAGATGTGCCGCTCTTGGGGCATTTATGCAAAGCCAAGGCCACCTCTATCTCACTCTTCCAGTGTTTGCCAGTGGGAGGTGCTCCCTGGTCTGGCCACAGACTGAGGTTACCAGACATCTGGACGTGCCAGGTCCTTCAGACTCCAGCAGGTACCCTCTTTCTGTGAGGCAGGTGCACAGGTCTGCTGTTTGGACAGGGGGACGCTGAGTGCTGGGAGCAGACAGAATGAGACAGTTTCTATCTGTGTAACTTATGTCTCCAAACAGCTTATATCTCTTGCAGATTTTAATGCAAATAAGGATCTTGCACCTCCCTGGGATTCAGGAGAGCTTTGCTTAATTTCCAATCTCGTGGGAGAGAGCACGTCCAGTGTTAGATCACACAAAGAAAAAATATGTCTTCCTCAGTTTCCATTAATAAACCAGCAGCAGCAGTGTGATTCTGTGTGATTCTGTGAAATACCATGTGAATGTCTTTCTAAGTGCCTGCATACACAGTCAATTAAAAGAAGCCTGGTTACAATCAGCAGTAACACATTCAACAAAATGCTTGAGAACAAGAATAATTATATATATATTGTTAGTGTCACTTGTTACACAGTTCAGTCTTGGGTGTAACTGTTTACTCTCACTTCCTGCTCAAATTGGAACTGGGCTCCTGCCTGATCCACCCTTGTTGGAAGTGCAGGACTCTTGTTGGCTTGCACTGGAATTTGCTCACGTAAGAAATGCTTGTAAGGGGCTGTTGAGGACTTTGGAGTCTGATCTTTTCCTAGAAAGAGGTTTGCTTTTCTTACGCATTTTATATGGTAAAAATCTGAGTCATAATGAAATGCATTTAAAAATATATATATATATTTCTAATTGTATTTTAGCCTCTGCCTGCCCTCTGCACCTGAAGTAAGGACTAATTCAGAATGTCCATGTGGTCTTCTCCTGCCTACTAGTAGTGCCGTTTTTGTTTTAACCAATTCTATGAAAAATCAGTCTTATCTATTTTACTTCATTTTTTTCTGCCTTTGAGAGAGACACTTCCAGTGCCTTCAACTTTCAAATAACTCATGTGGAGAACTTGTGTTCAAGAACATTTCATTTTCAGTGTCAAGGGGCTTTTTAAAGCATATAACTCAGCATTCATTCCTGTGAGTGTTTTCTGTGCAGTCTTCAGAATATTGTCCTTGTGCCATCTTTAGAGGTGGTACCATTTGTGAGCCTGTTAAGAATACAGGGCAGCCTGCAAACGTGCTGTCTCATCATCCTCGGGACATCTCCTTCACTTCATCTCCCATTCAAATACTCATCCACATGTTTTATTTTCTTCCAGGTTCTGGGTTTATCATGTGCAGCGGCAAAGAGAATCCAGACAGCGACGCTGACCTGGATGTGGATGGGGACGACACACTTGAATACGGGAAACCACAGTATCGTTTTTGAAAGGCTCTTATTGAGAGGGAACCTGGAATTGCATCTTCAGCTAGCTTTCAGACTGCACTGCCCTGGGTGGTAGTGGATAATCTGTGTCCAGGCCTACTGGAAATGGCACTGCCTTCTCCAGTTGCCATTTTAACTAGGAGGGATTCCCAGTTGCTGCCTTTGAGATCTTTCTGTTGATGCAGCACTACTTCCAAGCCGGTTGGTGAAGACTGTAGGAGACGTTGCAGGAGATCACAGTTAGTGTTTCTTTATTCTGTCTCATAAGCAATCTGTTGTCTCCATCCAGGTTTCTTCCATATGGATAGCTTTTCCTATTTCATAGGTAGGAATTGAGTTTATTTCTTGTTTTCAGGGCTTTTGTGCAGTAAACATTTTAAGCACTATTCACCTGCCACTCTGAGAGACTGAATATTTTATCCTTTCCTTAGACAGTTTGTGGACAGAACTATCATTAGAGGTGGTTTTTGAGAACTTCTCCATCTGGGAGCCAGTTTCTTTGGACACAGCTCTAGGAGAGCTGTGGTCAGACTTCTGCCTTGCAGCAGTTGTACAGCCACCAGGGAGGAATTCCTTCAGGGGTATTAGGCAGACATTGACTTAGCTGTGATGAAAGGAAATGCATAGCTATAGAATTAGGTTTTATTGAAATCTGTAGCAGCCTTTTAAGACTGAAGCCCCAACCCTTAGATGGTAAAAGATCTCTGTACCTCAAACAGAAATAGTGGAACTGTGCAAGTTAGGCTTGTGGAGATTGAGGAATTCCTTTTGCCCTCCTAAGAGGCTTTGGCATCATGTTGCTGTCAAAAGACTTTTCTGTTTCTTTCCACCTAAAACAGGATTTAAGAGCAAGCTCCTCCATGGATGCCAGCCCCACTTCTTTTGAGGTGTTCCTAGTTGGAATGAATTTGTTCTGTATCCCAGATAGTGTCCCAACTCTCATCAAAAGCCTTTTCACTGTCTGCAGCAAGGCTGTACCTTCCTTAACCCCTTGTGCTCAGGTACACAGAGGCAGACGTTATCCCTTGCACTGGGGAAGAGCCAGGTGAAGCCAAAGAGAGGGAGGCGCTCCGAGGTGCTGTTTTAAAGTAAGTACTGTGTCTTTCTAATTTATTTTCATTGCCTCTTGTGGAATCTCAATTTGTGGAAAATACCCATTCACTTGAGCACAAGGATCACAAGAGAGAGTTATAAAGAAGCATAGTGTGATGAGTAGGTCCCCGTTTCTACCTGAGCAACCTCATAAAGCCACCCTGCACACTTTCCCTCCCTTAACCACCCCACTGCCCATCCAGTGTTGTCTTCTCCCTGAATAGTGCTGGACAGAAGGTGAATTCAGCCACAGAGAAACTGTGCTGTACTGAGGCCTTATGTATCATCTTGCTTCACGATGAAATGTGGCCTCTTAGTAGTAGTATAACATGATACCATCCAAATCTTGTTTAGCACATTAGGACTCTGGCACCCAGGGTATGATTTCATTGCATCCCATTATGTGTTGCAAAGTACACAAGCTAATCCTTCTGCCTTCAGCTCCGAGGTTGGCACAGGATGTGTGCTTTGCCCACGTACTTATGAGGAGAATGTAGGCAGCCAGCTTTCAGGGTAGTTGGGGAAGCATTTCAGGCAAATAAAGTGAGTCTTAACAGGGAGGTAGGATTGCTTTCTGAGCCCTCTGCCCTGAATAAAACAGGGCTTAAATTACCCCTCTGTCTCTTTCACCGAGTGATCCTGTGAGGTCAAGGTTGAAGTGATTGATAGAGCAGTGAAATGAAGTTTTCTTACTGCTTAGCCTGTCACAAACACTAGTTCAAAATTAGGTTCCACTCCACAGAAAAGTGGCATTTGCCACACTGGATCCAAACCATTGATCCATTCAATACTTTGCTAACCACGTGAGTCCATAGGCAGGGCCTCAAAGATGCTGAAGCTCCTTCACAGCCAGGAAAGAGGTACTGTAGCGGGAGGATATTGGGGTATCTCTTATCAGTGGCTGTGGACGTTTAGTGCTTGCTGAGACAACTGAGGACCTGAAACCAGGAGACCCAGTTCTTTTGTGTGGCTTGCACCTAACATGTTGTTTTGCTGTTTGGGCAAGGTCCTGCACATCTCCTGGACTTGTTTGCCCATCTCTGAAACAGGAGGAATGATGTTGCTTGTAAAAGCACTTTGAAATTCTGTCAAGTTTCTCTAGAAAGGCAGTAGGGTAGTTGATGCCCTGAAGCATGAGCCTACGTTACCTTTTGAGTGCAACTGTCTTAGCTCATAGAGCTAAAATGTTATACAGTCACAGGTGTGCAGCCTGCTCAGAAGATTCCTTTCTCTTACAGTCTCAGTTACTGGCTTGCAAGAGAATGGACAGGGTTAGGAGTTGTCTGTACTTCAATGCTGCTGTTCTTCACATGGGAAGATGGAAAAGATGTGGCTTGTGAAGGTGTAAAGTTATTCTTAAACAGAGAAGGTATTGCAACACAGAGGATTTATGTTCACGAATAAGGTTTTCATCTTTGAAATTGTGTATTCAGAAATGAGCCTTAGGTCACAGGTGCTATTTGAATCCCAAGCCTTCAGTCAGCATCACAACCCCCATGTGATTCAGCAGAGTTCGAAGCCAGAAGCACAGGCTGGGAGAACACTAGTGGAAATGTGGACTAGCACAAAAACACCTCCTGCAGCAGGCCAACCGCTCACATTTTGAAGCCTAGACTGATAGATATAAGTATTGAGTGGTGGGTGGAAAGGGTCGCTTTTCCTGAGCAGCAAAATTTTTCATATTCAACCTTCAGCATCTGCCCTTTTCTCTTTTAGTGGTGGCACACCCAGTACTCGAATAACACCGGAGTTTTCTAAATGGGCCAGCGATGGTGAGTGTTGAACTTGTAAATTGCTAATTTGTATGCTACAGGAGGGCAGATAGATATTCCATATCTTCTGATTGCCAGTAATTAGACAAATGGTAGTTACAAATGCTCTTGCACAGTACCAGCAGATCTCTATGCACATACAGTCACACTATCATTTTGAAACTTTACAGGACAATTAACTGTAGTCAGTGGCAGCCAGGGGAGTTCCCAAAAATGCAGCCTTAACTGGTATGGTGATTAGAGATAGGGGTTGGATTAGATTGGGTAGGTCTTGTCCTTGCTGGCCTCTGTATGGCAAGAAAAGCCTGCACCTTTAGAGTGAAAACTTTAGGATCTGTCCTACTTCATGACCTGTAGTTGAGACTCCAGAGCAAATGAGTGAATGTGAAATTGTACCTTTGCACGTATTATTTGAAAGCGCATAGCATTAGGGGGCGGGGGGTGTTAGACCCACTCAATTGCTGGGGTTTTTTATTTAATGCTAGCAACTCTGGAAGTGTAAGCAGCAACCTAGTGGAAATATGAGAATAATAAAACCTGGCACTTTCCAGCTGTAGATGCCACATCCATTTCCAGAGCTGGGCAGTGCTGCTTCAGCTCCCTTAGGAATGGAACTGAAGCTCAGCGACCTGAAGAGACTTGTCCCAATGATTTTGTTCCCTATTCCATTAACTGTAGTGCTTTAGGCATTTGCTTCCCAGTCATGAAAGTACCTACAAGATATAAGTGCTTGACAGTGGGAGAGGGGGTGGGTAGAACCAGTTTTGCCAAGGGCATGATGATTAAATGGAGAACATAGGATATCCATTGCAGGCATTTTCTTCTGTGGCATAGGCAATCATATTTATTTTCTGTGATGCAGGAGCATTTGCTTGTAGGTGTGTTTACCTTCAGTAACTACAGCCACAGAGGTGGTGAGGAAGCAGCCCTGATGGCACTTCCTGAGAGCTGTTTTCTTCATAACTTTTACCTGAAGCCACGGTGCTGAACTGACAGCCCAGGGACTGGCCCTAGGACAGTTCACCTGGCTCATCTCTGGTATCTCACATCCCCTCCAGTGCTGGGAGGAGCCATGGGACTGCTGGTAGAGGAGAGCTTTGAGCAGACTGTTCTATCATACTAGTTACTTGGCATATATTTTTCTTCTTGTCTGAGTGGTCTAAGAAAAAGGGAGAAGCTGAGGGTAGCATCTGAACTGGGTGGATTTGCTCCAGATCCACCTTTCTAGAAGCACAATTAGGTGTGGCAGCTACTTTAAACCTCTCTGAATTAAATACTGGCTTGAACAACAGGAACATCTGCAAGGGTAGTATCTTCAGCCCCAAATTGTCGAAGCATGCTGTACAGAGAGGGCCTCCCTGCCAGACAGGCACACGTAACATTGGTCTCTCTTCTCTTTCCGAGAATTGACATGAAAATGACTCATCAGGGTCCTCTGCTTCAGAAACTGTAACTCACTCAGACGATTTCATTGCAATGATCAAATGTTCTCTTACTAATTTGTCTGTTCTTCCCTCGACAGAAATGCCCTCAACGAGTAATGGTGAAAGCAGTAAACAGGAGACCATGCAGAAGACCTGTAAGAACAGTGACATTGAAAAGTGAGTGTAAAGTGGATCACTTTTGTTTCTCTTGTTTTAGGAACTGTAGTGTCCTGCCTGGCATTCCCAGAAGCAGTGCTAGTCTGAGGGTAGGCATGTTTGGAGCTTTTACCATTGAGAGGGGAAGTTTTGCTCTAACATGAAGCCTGGGCTTGGACCTAATGGTGTCCTGACTTGCCACTGCTGTGTCCTCAGAGAGTGTGTGGGGAGTTCTTCTACAGATACCTGTGTGGGCAGTTACCCAGTGACAAGGAATTGAGAGCAGCTTCCAAATGGTTTTTCCACTTATTTTAAAATATGTAAATAGGTATATCTGTACTTTCCACCATATTCTATGTATGATGGGTTTTCAAATATGTTGTGGTGCATGATAGCCTAGACTAGAGCTGGGATTCGGCCAGGAGGTGAAGACTCAAACCCACTCTAACCTGACAAAAGCAACTGGCTTGTCAAGCTGTGCCTGGATTTTTTGATTCCTCCTGCAAGATTTCTGCTCTCAGTGTATCCATGTGATCTTGCTTTTACTGGAGAAGTGACCTTATAGTTGCATCTTGTTTTTTGAGAGTAGTCCTTCACATGTGGTCTATTTAATCTTTTCCATAGTACCTGCATCCTCTACCCTCCATCTCCCCAGCACAAGGGGGTTCCCGGCAGCCCCATAACTTGGCAGAAGCCTCATTAAGGGAGAAATTTCTTTCCTTTAAGATCCAGATTTCATCTTTGTATGGTTGCTAACAAAAATGTCTTGGTTCCCGAGTTTTTTACCTGCAGCCCTTCCAGTTGATTCAGAAGCTTGAGTCACAGTGTTTGAATATACAGCAGTGCAGGGGCTCCTGACCACCTCCTTTCCTATCCCCTTCTGCTTGCTGGATGTCCTGCAGCCTAGTCTGGGATAGAAACAGATGGTTTTAGCTGCACTGTGCATTTGAGTAACAGCCTCTCTCCTCAACCTCCTTCCACATGCTGCTAGGGTGACTTCTTGCTCGGGCAGTTTTGACAATCCAAGCTTAAAACTACAGGCCCTTCACTGCTGCCATGGTCTGCATTAATTGGGAGGGTTGGGGTGGCAGGAGTTGAATTGATTAGTGCCTGATATAAAGTGTTACCTCAAGATCGAGTGAGAGACAAAACAGCTTCAGTGAGGTGGGAGCAATGAGGTGACTGTAGCTTTTAAGCAGAGAACATTTATGTTTTGGGGGTGAGGTCCCTTGATAATTTGGGATGGGGAAAAATCTGGTGGTGAAATTAAGCTGACTTTACAGAAGGTTACTTTTAATGTAGTTTGTTCTCCTCCTACCCCTGGTCCTGACTTGAGGAGTTGTCTGGCATATTTTGGGATCTCTGACAGTTCAGACAGCCTGGCGAAGCATATGTTCACAGTCAGGGGTTAACTGGGGTAACTCCCTGCTGCAGAGGAAACTTTAACACTGCTTTACTGTCTTGGCACTTTCCTTTTCACAAAGCTATTTATTGGCATGTCCTAACATTGGCTGTCTGCTGTTCGTTGCTTCTTGGTGAGCAGACTTTGGCCAGGGACCACTGAGTTTGGGAGCTCGTAGGTCAGTGCAGGAGCCGCTTTGTCCTTAGAGTGAGCCAACCGTTGCATGCTGTCTTGGTGGCAAGGACTCATCCCTTCTGCTCTAATCCGTCAGCCTCTGTCTCAGCTGCTGCTTGGCTTCCCTTTGGGCCTCCTGCCTGTCAGCCCAGCAGCCCTCCACCCTCCCAGATCCACTCCTATTGAAAATCTTTAAACTGCAGGAGCTGAAAGGATTTGACATTTTCCAGAACACTTGAGCTCAAGTGATAAAATTGACATAGCTTTAATAATCTGATCAAAGAGGCTTTAGCTAGCACCTTTTGAAGGATCCCAGAATCCTTTCCAAACAGCACTTGTGCTAACGCCACTGTGAAGCAGGGGGAGCGTGTATGTGCGTGTGTGCGTGCACTCATGCACACCTTGCTTTGCAATAGCCTTGCCCCACTGAAGCTTCAGTTCTGCAAAAGGTGCAAAAAGTCAGTAAAAACCCAATAGAAATTACAGGAAAAGCCTTAAGTGTCTTACTGAGTATGTCCAATAATGTTGATTTTTTTTATTATTTTTTTTAAAAGTAGCAGGGAGAGCTTTTTATTTAAGGTGCTTTATTTAACTGAGGTTCAGAAAGCAATATGAAGTTTCAGGTGGAGAATTCCGAGCTGGTTTGTTTGTTGGTTTTGTGGGTGTGCCCCCCCCCCCCTTTCCTTTGAGATTCGTGTGTGATGAATAGTTTCTGTCCTGCCATTTAAGGAGTCTGAATGCTCTGTGTGCTTGTCTGTGTAGAGGGGTTCTGTTAAATTAATTGATAACAGGGATCAGAGCTAGAAGCCTACAGAAAAGGAGGGGGAAGGGTTTCATACTATCTGGCTGCTTCCCACTCCACTGCTGAGCCATGATATATGGCGACCCAGCCCAACAGGCTAAATTGATTCATCTCTAGTTCCTGTTTCTTAATCTGGAGCTAAATTGGTTTCATTTTTCTTGTTTTGGGTGGCACTTACAGGAAGTTTTTGGCAGCATCACTTTACTTCATTGTTTGTAACTTTAATTTTTGCCTTTAAATCTGAGCGTTATTGATTGGCACGTTAAGCCCCGTGTAGCATCTGATTAGCATTTTTAAAAGTGTCCAGAAGCACATGGCTTACCACCTGTGTCAGCTGTGCTCTCCCTTTAGAGCAGCAACTAATAGAGTTAGCAGTGATCCGCATATTGATCCTTCTCTCATAAGAATGACATTCCTTCCCCCTCCCCTCTTCCAAAAATAAGTCTAGGCAAGGAGAGCAGTGTGGTTTTGTTTGGTTGGATTTTTAATCCGTTAATACAGTACAGCAAGGGGTCCTCCTTTTGGCATGCAGCTGAAGAAGCTCTTTACTTGAGCAAGTTAATTTAATCTAAACTTAGTTCTTTGTGGAAGAGTCTCTTGCATGTAGAACAACTAGTTAGGGTTTGGGGTAAGTCTGCATTTGTTGCCCTGCTCCTTGTGCCATACCAGGTCATCAATAGCTTGGGCAGGTCAACCTCATCTGTGTTGTGTTGAACTTCAGATAGCAGCCACAGGTAATGAGGGACGTGGTGCTGGTCCCACCTCTCCTTCCCAGCACTGCGGGGTGTCTCAGCCCTGCTGAGCATTTCTGATCTCACCAACATGAGGTGTCTGGGAGACACCCTGGGGTGCTGAAGGCTCATAGCGAGAGGTAAAGGAGCATTGCACCGGCAGAGTATTACCTGTCTGCTGAAGACTCCAGCCACCAGTGGGGGTGGTGGTCTTCAGCTGATGGACAATGCTCAGCCAGTGTGATGCTCCTTTACCTCGACTCAAGATGCAGCTTTACTTGGAGAGAGCAGCTGGTTCCTAATTGCCCAGGCATCTTCCCCAACTCCTCCACCAACATCATGCTCTCAGCCAAAGCACCATCGTGCACAGAGAGCTGCAAAAAGCACCTTCCCCGTAAAAAGTCTTCCTCCCTCCTCTCTCCTGAGATGCTGCCCACAAGGGTCTGGTGCCATTTTGAAACCGAGGTTCCCCGGGGTTAAAAGCCAGCATCTTAATTCAGAGTGCCAATGTTCAATTTTGCTTTCTGCCACCAGACTAGATTGCAGGCCAGCGAGAGAGTCTGGGTTAGTGGCCCACTGGGTCACCTCCCATTTGTTTTCCTCAATTTTGTGTTGTCATAAATTCATTCCAGCCCGTTGTGGTTGATCAGTTTATCTCCGCCGGGGCAGGGAGCGCTGCGAGCATGATATATGGCACAGAGCATTGTAGCCAGCCTCTCCATGAATCACTCCAGCTGTTTGGTGTCAGCCCCAAAGCAAACAGGACCCGGCCGCTGAGCGTTGACTACGATGAGCTCAGTATGGGAAGAGACATGACGTATGAATGTTTATTTAATAATTCTCTAATATTTCCAGCGGAGTGTGGCTGTGCGTTCTGGGGGGGTGGAAGGGGAGGGGGGGGGAGGTTGAAGAGGGAAACTCTAATCTGTTGGGGTGGGTCATAAATCAGGCAGACAACATCATTAATCAGGGATGGGACAGAAGAGGAAGGAGGTGGGACTGGAGCTGCCGTCCTCGGTGGGAAGGGGGCTGTGCTCTTTTTTTTTTTTTTTTACTTTTTTTTTTTTTCTCTTGTTTCTGATTCTGCTTGGCCCCAGCCGCGCTGCGCGCATAATAGCAAACCCGGACACAAGGCTGTTTAAGTGAGTATGCTATCTCCGCTATAAACCTTGCGATACGAGCCTGCCAAGCATTAAATCCCTTTATAATTATCTTCTTTATATAACACTTCATGCTTATCATGCTTCATTGGATGAAACACTCGTTGGGTTAAAAAGAGGGGTTTAGAGACAAAAAGCAATTGTATTTGTCTTATTTTTCTCATCTCCTCTTTCCTCCCCTTCCCCCCCCACCTCACCTCTTTCCAATCTGGCTGTTCTGAAAGCATCAGGCTCCAGAGGGGCTCTCTCGCAGCAGCACAGGAAGGAGCCTCAGTTAAAATTAAACAAGGTTCAGGTCCGGGTCCTTACGCAGAGAGTCAGGTGTGTGAGAACAGTCAGGGAGGTAGCAGTGTCTGTCCTGGGGACCCTGCTTCTGGGCAGACAGGTCAAGATGGGAGTAGCGTGGGTGTGAAGCCAGAGGATTAGCAGAGGCCTGAAAGGGAAGGAGCCACGCTTAAGCTGGTATGTTGGAGGGAAACAGAAGCTGTTGTGAATTCACACCGGAGGATAAGCGCTCCCCAGCCCTTTTCCATAGTGTTACACTATTAATAGTCTTTGGTGGGAGAAAAGTACATTGTATAGCAAAGACAGAATTAAAAAATTATCTTGAGTCATAAATTAACTAACTCTTTGTGCTCTCCTAAGAGAGAACATGATGCTGCTGGTGGGTCCAGTCCTAGATCAGACTGTGTAAACTCGAGACAGGATCCAGGAAGCTGAAGTGTGGGATTGTCAAAGCCAGGCTGAGAAAG